TGAGGAGTATAGGAACAAAGGAAAAACTGAAGGAACAAAACAGCAGCAGAATTACAGAACCCAAAAATGGACTAACAGGTACCAAAGGGAAAGGAACTGGGGAGGATGGGTGGGCAGGGAGGGATAAGGGGGGGGAAGAAGAAGGGGGGTATTAAGATTAGCATGCATGGGGGGGAGGGAGAAAGGGGAGGGTGGGCTGCACAACACAGAGAGGACAAGTAGTGACTCTACAACATTTTGCTAAGCTGATGGACAGTAACCGTAATGTGGTTGTTAGGGGGGACCTGATATAGGGGAGAGCATAGTAAACATAGTATTCTTCAGGTAAGTGTAGATTAAAAATTTAAAAAAAAAAAAAGAAAGAAAGAAAGAAAAGGGGGATTACTCCTTAACAGGATAAAACTATTGGTAAATCAAAGATCAACGCATGCTTTAAATATCCTTAATGTTGATCACTTAAAGGGTGTCAGATGATCAGCTATGGAGGTACTCTTTTCTGATAATATTCCTTTCTCTTATTAAAAAAAAAAAAAAAAAGCAGTTACTGTGTGCTGACCTCCAATGAGTTCTGCACAGTGGTATAGAGGGCATGTCAAAGTGTGGGCAAAGGGTCTGTTTGTTTCTACGCAGAAGATCAAGGCCTAGCTTGGATACCCAGAAAATGAACTAAGATACGATATGAGGAGGAGCTTCCGGCATCAGCACTCTCTGGAGGACTCGTGCCGGGGGATGATCATCAAAAAGCCTCCACAGGGATCCGGACGATGCTGCGGTTGTGGCTGCATCCAGCCCACCGTCTCCTGGACTTGCCATAAGAAGGAGGAGGGAGATGTCTAGGCTGGCATGTGCATACAGTGAGACAACGAATTTGACTGGATCTGTACTGTTGGAACTCAACCAGGAGTTGGGAGGGGTGCAAGTTGTAGCACCCCAAAATCTCATGACTATAGACTATCTATGGTTAAAAGAACATATGGGATGTGAACAGATCCCAGAAATGGGCTGCTTTAATTTGTCTGATGGTTCAAGTACAGTTGGAAAATATCCATCATATCATAGATAAATTTTCACAAATGCCTAGGGTGCCTAAATGGTTTTCTTGGCTTCACTGGAGATGGCTGGTAATTATAGATTTGCTTTGTTTATGTCACCGTATTCCTATTATGTTAATATGTGTGTGCAAATTAGTTAGTAGTTTAAAACCTATACATACTTAAGGTACTATACAAGAAGATATGTCAAAGAAATAATCAATCCTCCCAAGTTTCCTTCATATGCTACATCTATAGCTTTTCTTCTTCCTTCCTAATTACAACCCTTAAATAGAATTCGTGCCTCATATCGAATTTACCGAGTATCATAATTCCTCCAGGTGGTAAAGATACCTCGAGACAAGTGCTGGGCATAGAAGCCACAGGGCATAAATCTGCAAAGAAGTAAAAAGCTAACCTTTGCAAACAATATGGCTTCTCTCTCACTTACCAACTTTACATTTCCCTGTATGGCCCCGGAAGATGACTGGTTAGCCAGAGACGGGTAAGATTCCTCAAGGGAGGAACAACCTAAGACAGGCACAGTCGCAGGGGGGCCATCAGGTGAGAATTTGGGGATCAACAGAGGTGAGGCTCAGAACCTCACCCCCCCTGCTTTGAGAGAAATCTTCTGCATCCGTGGATGTCTTGCTGCCCTTGTCTAGCCTGGATTAATACTTAGTCCATAGGCACACACCTGATCATCTGATCATCTACATTTGCCCTCTTACAGCACTAAACTATGTTTTCTACCTTTATCTTGCATCTACCTACCTCTTCAGCATTTTATTAAAAATAAAAATAATAATAATAATAGGAGAAATGTGGGATCAACATATAAATCAAGTACAAAAATCAAACGAATATTCATATTTGACCTGATTGTTTATAGTTCATAATGTGTGATCAAAACCAAAAGTTTCTGTGATGACTGCCCTTGTACTGTTCACCATGTAAGAACTTATTCACTATGTAAGAATTTGTTCACCATGTAAGAACTTGTTCGTTATGCTTCAGAAGATTGGAGACTGATGAAAATTAGGCTTGGGGTGGATTAAGGATTGTGCATTGAGCATTGACTGCCCTATACAGAATTTTATTGTTGTTAACAACCATTTGATCAATAAATAAGAGAGATGCCCTCAAAAAAAAAAAAAAAGTACACACTTCCAATTGTAAAATAAATAAGTAACCAGGATGTAATGTATAGCATAAGAAATGTAGTCAAAATATTATAACAACTTGGTATGGTGATAGCTGGTACCTAGAATTATCATGTATATAAATGTTGAATCACTGTGTTGTATACCTGAAACTAATGTAATACTGTGTGTCAACTACCCTTCAATAAAAAATAATTATCTACAAAAAAAAAACCCCACCATCCAACAGATGCTGTCCATAAAACATTCATTTAAAATAGAACTAGTGAAAATATGAAACAACAAAAACCTGCAAAATGGATACTTTGCGCAAGTCAGTAAAAACTACCCAATGTATTGGTTACCTAAGTTGCTTATTGAAAGCAAAAATCTGAAACAAAAATAAAAATGAGAAAAACATAAAAAAAAAAACCACCAGTAATAGCCTCACATAAAGAAATAATATCCTGAATGTAGAGTTCCTGCAAATCATTGAGAAATGGGCAAACATCTCAACACAAAACAAACAAAACCAGGTAGATAAGAAGAGACTACAGGAACAGACACCTGTCATGACCAAACATGAAAATACACTAAACCTCATTTAAATATTAAAGAGATTAAAATTACCACAGCAAATATTTAACAAATATTGACAACATGCACTGTTAGCAAGCAGGCGCAACCAAAGGCCCTCTCCCACACAAGCTGATGCGACTGTAAACCCATAAATATTAATTAATTAATGTATGCCCATATACCTGGAATCAGAAATTCCATTTCCAAGAACCTTTCCTCAGAAAATACCAATGCCAGCACCACAAAGATACATGTGTAGGAAAAAAAAAAAAAGTTGACTTCAGAATTGATAAAGGAAAAAAAATATTGGAAACATCTTGAAATTCTTGGTCAAAGGGTAGGAACCTTTCTAAGTTTCCCTTTCTCTCTGGCTTACTTTAAAATACTCTGTACATTTTCTACATAGGATTTAGGATAAAATTAATTAAACAGCTCTGCAATGATTTGTTCAATGATCATATAGCTCTGCCACTTTCTCTGTAAGCTCCGTGAAGACAGGGTTCTTGCCAGGCTATGCCTGATGGTCATTATGGAAAGAACAGACCTTTCCAAGGTTTATTTCAAGACACCAAGTTTGAAATAAATCGCTTAGGTATTTATGAAGAGTGTGAGACTCCTAAAAGGACCTGCCTTGTCTAATGAACATGACATTACGCTAGGAATTAGAGGGCCCAACTTATATTGTGCCCATAACTCATGTCACCTGAACAAGGCCTTTAACCTCCGTGAGCTCCAACCAACACATTTGCAAAATGAGAATATTAACTTCTGCCCTTCTAAAGATCTACTGCGAAGATTAATGAAATCATCTAGGAGGCTGAGCTTTAGCTCTGTATAGTCCTGATGTATCACCAAGGCTGAGATTTCAGGCAATAAAATGAAAATTGAAAGATCCTCATGACAACTAATTGCTTCCTTCAGGAAACAGTTTCTTCAGGTTCTTAGAAACACTTTTCATTTTACCCTACCCCTGGCTCAGACACAGCAGCAGGGCCAAGAGGAACTCCTTCTGAGCTCTCAGGAAACAGGGCTGTGCTTCAGGAAAGGAAACAAACGCTTGTTTTGTTTCAGCCTCCAACAGGGCGCTTGCATTTTAATATAAATCTAATCTTCGCATCGCCTCCTGAGTATGTGTGGTGGATGATTTTTAAGAGTGTAGGTCCAGCTAATATGATGCTCTCACTGTGTCCCTTACCCAGAGTCACGGCCCCCTTTCATGGAAGCCGTGTGGCATGATGTGACCTCACCCCCGGTCACAAACGACTGGCTTGGAAAAGGGCAGCCTGCCCAAGCTGATCCAATCAGTGTCTCTTCTAGGAACCTGGAAAAGGCTGGCCTTTCTACTGACTGATACTTTAACTTTGAAGTGGTAAAACAACCTTCCTCTTTACACTGTTAAAAGTGGGATTTTTCCATTCCATTGACTCCTGTCCTAAGTCACAGGGCAGAATTTGTCCATAGAAGTAAGACTAATATCGCCATCTGTTAGTATTTCTGGCCTTGGTGCCCCTCCCTCTCTCCCCCCCTCTTTGTAATCAAGCACATAAACAAAGGGGTAGATGAATTCACACAACGTTAGTACTTTTGTCGTGAACCATTTGCCCCCACTGCCGTGCAGGTTAGAAAGTAAACAATAACAGGCTTTCTGATCCACAACCCCCCCTCCTGCGCCCCACCCCACCCCCGCCCAACTCTGCACCAGCTCCTGAAATTTTATAAGCCAACAAAACAAGCTTGTGGCTGGACAAAACAGCACACAGAAATAGACAAACCACTTCCTAGGCCAGCAGCTCCCCGGGATGCAAGAAGAACACGGCGTGGTATTTTCTATTCTCTTAAGGCAGGCTTTTTGTAGCAGTGAACACATGCAGCAGAAGCTGTGACGTGTGGCACTGGGGTCAATGTGAGAAACAACTTTGAAGGAGACCCATGTCACCAATATGGAAAGTCCCAAAACAAGTATTTATAGGATTGTTATCGCAGGTTAATATTTATTCTGTGCTGGCCAAAGGCCAGGCATTCCTCGTACTAAGCTCTCAGCATGCATCACAATATTTCAATGATCTTATCACCTAACTTGGCCAGTTTGAGTAGCTTGCGAAAGGTCAACAATATAGAAAGTGCCAGAGCCAGCAGTTAACATTCTCCCTCAAAGCCAAGATCCTGCACCACCTATAATACACAGCAAAACAAATTTGCCTCTGGCATTATCTCAATAATTGAATTAATTACCATTAGGTTATCTCACCATGCTACAAACTTATACAGGATGGGCCATCAGTATAAGTCACTTTTCCAAAACCACTTCCTGGCAAAGTTCTCTGATGTGCTGTGATCCTCTTCCTTCGCCAGCTCCAGATTTCCCAACTTTTCCATCTCTGTGCTTCTTGGGCAGGCCAGGGGTGAACCTGAATAGGGAAGGGCAAACATGAGGAATAAATAGCCTTTAGGAAAATGATAGTATCATTAAAACGTGTAAAGGATGGGGGAAGAGTGGAAAAACACACACAGACCCACACAGGTTGCAGGGCAATTCATCTGGGGTATTAGATTTTCTAGCAAGGTGATACATTTCAAATTTCAACCTATGTTCTCTCTTTTTTGGATCTTCTCTTATTCGGAACAGCAGCGCAATTTTATGCTTACGGTTCAGAGGTGCTATAAAGAAGGAGGCAGAGCGGGGGGGAAAAGTGTTTTCCTGGCTCTAAGGTTTTAAAAGTCTAGGATGTTAGGAGCCCAGAAAGGACTCTCTCAGCTTCGCCAGAACTTCTTGGAAAACATCTTAAATAACAGTGAAGCCATGTAGGAACCTTACAAACAAGAACAAGGAAGTCTCCCTGGTGACATGCTTGGGCCAATGCGGAAGGAACAAACTGGGTTTTTCTCATCCAAAGCACTTTTTACCAGATTACATTAAAGAGTAGATAAACCCATGGGACATCTGTTTTCCACCAAATTTAAAGACAATCATAGAAAGGGAAGAAACCTTAAATTAACTAAGATTAAATTTTGTCCATCCTGGTGAAATGGGGTCTTAAAATAGAAATTAGACTGAATTTCAAAAATGGAAGTTGTTTTTCTTGTACGCTGAGGCTAATGGGCTGAGATTCACACCTATGACAATTTATACAACTGAACGCAAACCGCAGGAGCGACACTGGCGGACTCCCAGCTCAAACGGGATCTTGAGAAAGCCTGGAAAGGGAGCGGTTTCAGGCCACAAGTTTGGGAGATTTCTGGACAGCAAAAGGGACAGGCCATGCTCTACTGCCAAGTCAGCTCCTATGAAGGGACAATTTGTCTCTTTATAGACATCCCAGAGCAGGGACGTCAAACAATTTCAAAATACTTCTTAGGGAAAGGGCCAAAATGTTACATAAAGTGAAAAACCAGTTTGCAGCTCAACGCCCAAAACTAATCCTGAACCCTCGTCAGATGTACTAGGAAGCCTGTCTCCCGGAGAAGGGAGGGCTGCACCTTTGTGATCTGTGGACTTGAGGCCTTTGTTTGCTTTTTTTCTTTGAGAGGAGCTAAATATGCTCCCTTTTTAGCCTATGAATGAAGGAAGGGAGACATCCATAGATATATGTACTGAATCTAGTTCCCCTCTGATTGTCAAATTTCCTATTTCACTGCCATGATTTTGTGTCCAACTTCATTCATGCTCAGAAATCAGTCAATGCCTGGGGACAGTGCAAATGAAGAAAGGGCAAGTGAGGTGCCTCCTACAATAACAAAATTGTTCTTCTTATTAAAGTGGGGCCCACAGACCAGATCTCAGGAATAGCATCCCCTGGGAGCTTGCAAGAAATGCTAGATCTTGGGCTCCAAGAGGACTTTTAGAGCAGTGAAAACAGTCTGCATGATATTAGGATGGGTCTGTGTCAGTATACATTTGTCCAAATCCACAGAATATACAACAGCAAGGGTGATGGTATAGTAAGGTAACTATGTACTACGGGTGGTAATGATGTGTTAATGTAGGTTCATCAATTGTAACACAAACTACCGGGGTGACTGGTGATGGGAGAGACTGATGTGTGGGAACAGGGGGAAGGTGAAAGGGAAATCCTGTATATTCTTCTCAATTTTGTTTGAAGCCTAAAACTTCACTAAAAAAATACAAAGTCTCTTGGAAAATGAGATCTCCACTGCTGCAGCAGGAAGGGGGTGGGCGACATTACGTGATTAGCGTGGAAAGAGGGCAGGCTCTCTGGAATTAGCCTGAATTCAAATCCCTCCCTCTTTGCTTATTAGCTCTGAAGGCTTCACCAAAGTGCCCTCTGGGCCTCAGTTTCCTAATCTGAAAAATGAGGACAATGATAATAATAATGGAATTTAGTTCCCAGGGCTGTTGTAAGGATTTGATAAAACAACATATATAAAGCATTTAGAATGGTGCCTGGCCCAGTGAACCCTAAATGTTAGCTTTTCGTATTAGTCAGAGGAAGTGTTTTGTGTTTATGATTCCTAAGGAAGGTGCTGAAACCATCTTGGAGATTCCTTCCACATCCTTCCTTTTCAGCTGCCAAAGACAGAGTGAATGATTTTAACTGCTTCTGACAGGTCTACACTAAATGGTGGGCAGTGTAGCCAATTGTGGGAAGAAATGGCATGAATCACTATTTCTCAAATTTTATTCACTCCAGAAAAAGCTTCACTCTTTTTTCTTTTCTAACCATTTCTATACACAACCCTTATGTATTATTTTTGCTTACATCAATTTACAATACGTTTGTTTTTTAAAAGCCACATCCTAAGCAATAAACAGCATCTGTGAAATCAGTAGTTGGCTGGGCTAGCTGTATTTTTTCTAGTCCACACTAAAGTGAAACCATAACTATCAAAATGAAAACATTCACACATGTATAAAAATGTTACTTAGAGCTCCAGAGAGTCTCTTCATTCCTACATTAGCATTTTATTAGCTCTCAGCTGCAGTTCTAAATGTTTTGACATTAAGTCTCTCCACCCAAATGATATGAGCAAAACCTTTTGGCTTCCAAATCCTCCAGCTCCACTGAGGACCAGAGTCACCAAGCAACCTGCCCAAAATAACACAGCTGGTGCAGGGCAGAAAGATTAGACTACAGCTCTGCCAACCTACAGAGTAAGGACATGGTGGTGTCCCTATTCCTCCCCACAGCCCTGACACGGCAGCTGTGTCCCTGTTCCAAGCCTCCCTGCTCAGTGACTATCGTCTTGTGTCTGGGAAGGCTGAGAGCCCTGTTTCCTTCACATCAATCTGATTGTGGGCTTCATACTGCAGAGCTAGAAGCAATCATTTCTAAATGTCACGACTTTCGTTTTGCAGTTTTCCAACATCAGAGGGGCCCAATTTCTTTCAGAGTCATCAAAGTTCTTCTTCATAACCAAAGCAGTGGCTTGGTTTTTCTGCCATCCTACTTGTCACAGCATATTTCAAAAGATGAGCCTCATGGGCCAGATTCCAAATTCTTTAAACCTGTAAAGCTGCTGCAAAAGGAATGTGTGAGTAAGCTCCCATGAGTGACAGCCTCCTGCTCTATTATTTCTTTTTCATGCTTTTTTCTCAGTGAATTTTCTAGCAATATCTTAGTGTTTCATGACAACATTAATTAATGTATGAGGAAGGAGAACAAATTAGCAGCCCCTCTCTGCTCTGCTTTATGGCAGGCTTGATAATGTTCTTGGACATTCTGTTATCAACATTTAGTTCAGTAAATATTTTTTGAGGGTTCCAGGCAAGCCACAAGTGCTAAATGCTGCAAGGCTTGCCAGACTTTAAATGTAGCATCTTACAGCGCTGCCCAAAGAGGGATGTGTCTTTTTTGATAAGGTCACCCAATGAAAACAAGGTTTCAGCTTGTGTTTATCTAAATCACGCATTTTCATTGGGAGCAATATTGCCCCCAGTAGGCAAAAAATGGTCTTGGGAGGCAAAAATATCTCCCATAGGACAATGCTCAGTACTACTCAACAAAATCACATTCTTTAGTGTTTATCTCACTGGGGAGAAATTTAATTTTAATTCATTTACTGATTTAAGTTTAATTTTTTATGAGGAGTGGGTTAATAATGAAAAAAAGATCGAGAAACAGTGATATAAATGAAAGTGTTTTTCAAATACGCTTCTCCTTTGACCTAGCACTTCCACTTCTATTATCTCTCCAAGAGAAAGGGTCCCCGAAAGAGGAAGGAATACAAAGTTGCTGACTGCATCATCTTTTTTAATAGTGCAAAACCTAAATGTCCATTGACTGGAAATGGTTGAATCAACTCTGGTGAATCTATATTACAAGACACTTGACAGTTCAAAGGAACGAGGTAAGTCTAGACACAGAGAAAGAAATTGGCAAGGAGAGCCTCCACATCATATAACTGGGGAGAGAAAGCAATCTGTAGAATATGTATGCACAATCATATTTATATTAAATTAGAGATCTACTATATGAGCATGTTATATATGTAAACACAAAAGAAAATGAATGGAAGATTATTCACAACAAAGTTACCTCTGAGGATGGGTTTGCTGGTAGAGAGATGGTTGAAGTACGTGGGCTTTTTATTTTTACGTGCTTTGTTGTAGCACTATTCACAGAAATGACTTAAAACATAAAAATAATAAATAAATATTTACACAAAATAAATCCTCCCTCAACCCCCTTCCTACTGCCCTGAAGGAAACCTTTGCCCCTTTATTTCTATTAAAACTGGAACACAAGAGCTGGTGAGCCCCACTTGGATTGAAGTTTTATCCTTTTAGTCAAATTACTGAAAAATGACATAAAAGCTATGTCAAACATTTGCAAAAAAATTTATCTACTGGGGTTTGATGAAAGAGAAGAAATACAAAAATAAAAAGAGGTTGATTTTACTACCTAGAAATGAAGCAAAGGTGGTCAGCACTTCCAGAAGGCAGGTTAGCAGTAGATGATTAAAATGTCAATGAGCATACCTTTCAACCAGCTGTCATAATTCTAGGACTTGCACAGGGATGTTTACAGGAGAGAAAAATTAGAAATCACTTAAAACTCCGTTACTAGAGATAGGATAAGCAAAATACGGCAGACACATACAAAGGAACACTGCGTTCATTCCCAAAGACAGGCTGTATTTACTGGCATGGAAAGAGCCACAGACAATGTTGTATAACAAGTAGGTTACAGAAGAACACAAAAAGAATGATCTTATAAGTGTTTATATACACATAAATAGTTACAGGCACTCTGGCTATTGACAAAAGGGCTTGGCTCCTTGCCACGCACACCTCCTCCTCAGGACTGCTTAGGTGTCCTCAAGACAGAGGAGCTGGCTCTCCCCGCTGAGTGAGCCGAGACAGACAGATGGCTTCAGCACTGTTGGAATGACCTAGCCTCAAAGCCACACTCCATCATTTCTGCAGGGTCCTATTAGCCACACAAGTCGGCCCTGTTCCTTGTGGAAGGGGACTAAATAGTGGCATAAACACCAGCAGGCAGGGATCCTGGGGAGCCTTGTGAAGGCTGGTTGCCACTGGTATATATTTTCCTAAGTTTTGGTAAATCTTACAAGGCCAAACAGGACAAAATAAATAAATACAGCAACTGTGACACTGTACAAAGAGAGGCAAAAAATGGTCTTGGGAGGCAAAAATATCTCCCATAGGACAATGCTCAGTACTACTCAACAAAATCACATTCTTTAGTGTTTATCTCACTGGGGAGAAATTTAATTTTAATTCATTTACTGATTTAAGTTTAATTTTTTATGAGGAGTGGGTTAATAATGAAAAAAAGATCGAGAAACAGTGATATAAATGAAAGTGTTTTTCAAATACGCTTCTCCTTTGACCTAGCACTTCCACTTCTATTATCTCTCCAAGAGAAAGGGTCCCCGAAAGAGGAAGGAATACAAAGTTGCTGACTGCATCATCTTTTTTAATAGTGCAAAACCTAAATGTCCATTGACTGGAAATGGTTGAATCAACTCTGGTGAATCTATATTACAAGACACTTGACAGTTCAAAGGAACGAGGTAAGTCTAGACACAGAGAAAGAAATTGGCAAGGAGAGCCTCCACATCATATAACTGGGGAGAGAAAGCAATCTGTAGAATATGTATGCACAATCACATTTATATTAAATTAAACACACAAGAGATCTACTATATGAGCATGTTATATATGTAAACACAAAAGAAAATGAATGGAAGATTATTCACAACAAAGTTACCTCTGAGGATGGGTTTGCTGGTAGAGAGATGGTTGAAGTACGTGGGCTTTTTATTTCTACATGCTTTGTTGTAGCACTATTCACAGAAATGACTTAAAACATAAAAATAATAAATAAATATTTACACAAAATAAATCCTCCCTCAACCCCCTTCCTACTGCCCTGAAGGAAACCTTTGCCCCTTTATTTCTATTAAAACTGGAACACAAGAGCTGGTGAGCCCCACTTGGATTGAAGTTTTATCCTTTTAGTCAAATTACTGAAAAATGACATAAAAGCTATGTCAAACATTTGCAAAAAAATTTATCTACTGGGGTTTGATGAAAGAGAAGAAATACAAAAATAAAAAGAGGTTGATTTTACTACCTAGAAATGAAGCAAAGGTGGTCAGCACTTCCAGAAGGCAGGTTAGCAGTAGATGATTAAAATGTCAATGAGCATACCTTTCAACCAGCTGTCATAATTCTAGGACTTGCACAGGGATGTTTACAGGAGAGAAAAATTAGAAATCACTTAAAACTCCGTTACTAGAGATAGGATAAGCAAAATACGGCAGACACATACAAAGGAACACTGCGTTCATTCCCAAAGACAGGCTGTATTTACTGGCATGGAAAGAGCCACAGACAATGTTGTATAACAAGTAGGTTACAGAAGAACACAAAAAGAATGATCTTATAAGTGTTTATATACACATAAATAGTTACAGGCACTCTGGCTATTGACAAAAGGGCTTGGCTCCTTGCCACGCACACCTCCTCCTCAGGACTGCTTAGGTGTCCTCAAGACAGAGGAGCTGGCTCTCCCCGCTGAGTGAGCCGAGACAGACAGATGGCTTCAGCACTGTTGGAATGACCTAGCCTCAAAGCCACACTCCATCATTTCTGCAGGGTCCTATTAGCCACACAAGTCGGCCCTGTTCCTTGCGGAAGGGGACTAAATAGTGGCATAAACACCAGCAGGCAGGGATCCTGGGGAGCCTTGTGAAGGCTGGTTGCCACTGGTATATATTTTCCTAAGTTTTGGTAAATCTTACAAGGCCAAACAGGACAAAATAAATAAATACAGCAACTGTGACACTGTACAAAGAGTTCTACATGTATTACTGTTTTTTTTCATCAAATCTAAAAATGCCGTCAACCGAAGGACATACTTTTATTTTCTATACCTCTTAGAATGAAATAAAACATTGCCAATAAAATTAGGATATAATGCTTTCTTATCACTTTGAATTTTCATTGTCATTGAAACAGCTGGTTTAGACTTATATTTAGTGATTGTTTACCATATTCATTTGGGTGTCCTAATGAGAAAGAAAATACGAGAAATAAAACCTTCCGACTCTAAATGTACTCAATTGTTTCTCGGATCAGAGTCATCAATGCCCACATTTTTCTGCATAAAATCGTGCTTCCGTGCTACTGATGATTCTTTCCTTGGATTTCCTTTTAACACTGACAGCCATTCTGCAAGTTTTGATGTTAATGCTTTCTTGATCTTGCTACAGTCAATCACAACGGCTTCTCATTGCTTTGAAATTTCTTTCAAATAGTCTGCAGAATTTCACAGCTCCCCCTGTCTTCTATTGCATTGCTCAGCCTAGAAGAAGAAAGCCTCCTGCAAGTATTTCAGGAAAAATAAATAAATAACATAACTTTATCTACTTGTGGATCTCTCTCTTGTTTTCCAAGAAAAAAACATGCAATGGTGGTCCTTTCTCCAGGGATGATACTTGCTCCCTGATAGGAAAACACAGGCTCCACCTATCTGGGAGGGATTGCAAGATGCATCCTTTATCTCAGAGATGTTAAAATAGGAGCAATATGCATCCTAGAATTAATGGTATATAGGATCCTGTTTGAACTTCCCAACATCCCTGTGAAATAGTTACTATTTTTACAAATGAGGATGCTGAAATTTAATTAGATAACATAGCTTGCCCAAGGTCACACCATCACTACAGAGAACAGATAGTCAACTCCTCTGCACTCGACTGCCTCTCAAGTCAGTGTAGTCATCTTTGTCACCACTGCCATCATCATTGTTGCTGTCATACCCTCACTTCTGCCATCAACATCATGCCTGTCACCCTCATAACGACCGTGGTCATCTTACCATTGTTACCAACATCGTCACCATAATCAACATCTTCTTATCATCATCATAGCTATTATTTGTTGAACATGCACTTACTTACCATGCACTTAACTCTGTGTTAAGGCTGTTACATGCTTTGCCCCATAACTATCCTGTACATAGGTTTTGTTATTATCTCATTCCACACACATGGAGAGTGGGACTCCATGGGATTAAGTACCATTCAAAATTATTCAAAGCTATTGTTCAAAATTATCCAACTGAGGCCTGAATTCAAATCCAGGCCCTCTGACTATAGAAGCCATAGTCTTAACTACTATGGTGTTAAGAACAGACACAGCAAACTGTAGGCTCTCAGTAAATGCCTATCCGTGTGACTAGCATGCAGAAAATAAACCATTCTAATAACGAAAATAGCAGCAGCTACTGTTTATCAAGCAATTAGTATGGGCCAGGCTCTATGTTAAATGCTTCATACAGTTTATTTCTCTCAGTCCTGATATTAGCCCTGTGAGGTAGGCACTATTTTTAATCCTATTTTTAATTTTACAAGTGAAGAAATTGAGAATTAGAGAAATTGATAAAGTATCTGAGGTTATCAAACCAGTTAATGACTCGACAATTAGTCAAGCCCAAGAGGTCTGATTCAAAAACTGGTCTTATGGACAACACAATATTGCCTCCTACAAGGAGGACAGTGAGTGAATTTGTTTGCTGTCATTGATTTGCCCCATGAGTATTGTCTGAGCACATGCCACAGGCTGTGTGTTATGCCCAGTGGGATGGGTAAGAGGAAAGTAAAGAATAAGAGAAAGAGGGCCCCTGCCTGCATGGAAACTACAGTCTAGATGAAGCACCAATAAAAATGAGAACTAATAATAATAATAATAATAATAATAATAATAA